TAGAATGGAAACACAAATTTTACGACGTAACATCGGTCGTTCCTATTATGGCTGCTGACCTTTCAGGAATCTCATGATCCAGCGAATTCGATTGCGTGAGGCGATCAAAAGTGGAAAGTGAAAGTGGCGAACTGGAACCTTGCGTGAATCATGAAAGTGGGAGAGCCGACGAGGCACCTTGCGAACCGTCGTAAAAATTCCATCGCGAAAGTGCGCGATCATGCCATCGTAGATTTCAAATGTCAATTAACCTCGTCGAACGATTTTGAGTAACCTGCAATTCCCATTTCTTTGTCATGGTCTGTTTCTCGCCTTCGTCCTGCGGGCGTATGATATCGATCGAGTTTAAACGAGGATCAAAAATACGGCTCTCGGTGACGTTTGATCATTGATAAACAATCACGCGAGTGACACTCGAGTTGCAAATAGAAGTTGTTCGCTTTCTCGGCGCGCGAATGATTCTGTGTGCTAGGTGTTCTAGCCTGATTAGTAATTTATTTAACCGCAGGAATATTAGAAAATTATTAAACGACGGAATGATTTATCATTTAAAATGCGCGCGCTGCAATGTATTTTTGACAATAGTAAAATATTCTTTTTCTATTATTTCTTTCACCCGAATTCTATAATATATTTTCTAATTAATTGTTAATCCTTTAATTTCTGTAGAATTTTTAACTTCGACTGTAATTTTATTATTATTCTCAAAGGTAATTTACTACCGTCAATTTTCGTAATATAATATAATCTTGTGGCCGACTTATCAGTCAACAATTTGAGAATCATTAAAATTGTTAAATAGTTCATCTTGCGATACAGAAAAGAAATTTCATCGGAAATACCGTCGAAATCAGTTCACCTCATGGCCTTGAACTTCTCAAGTGAAGAAAGGCAAGCAAATGAATACAACTCATCGCTTACCTGATTAAATTCAGCAAGGTTCGTTCCATCTCACTCAGCTGGTCCTGATGGACCGACGAGGTCAGTTCGCATATAAGCTTGGGCAAGCAAGCCGTCTTGATTGTCGCCATCATCTTTGCGCGTCGTGAGATCGCTGCAACGTAATCCATGTATGTGTTTATATCCATAAGAAGTACGTCAAATCTCTCGAAATATCCTGTCATTAACGAACTAATGAATATTTAATGTACTTCTGAATTAGCGTCCGGCACACCTTAAAATGCTCTCGATTGTCACAAACGTTTTTCTGAAATTCCTCGTTACGTTAGAAACGTAATCGGATCATCGTTCCACGTTGTGTCCATATTTTATCATCGAGTCGTTCGTATTTTTGCTTTTCAATTTGTACACTTTTATTTGGAGTTTAAATCACTCGGTTGTTTTTGCTTAATTAAAGGAACTGCTACCGTAACAAACAAGAACTAAATGCTAATTTCGCTGCAGAGAGATCTCGCTGTTAGCGATCGCAGAGATACTCGAAGATAAACGAAACGTCTCGAATCGAATGCAAGAAGATGGAACAATGCTCGTTCAGCACAACGAATTTTTTAGTTGCACGAGTGAATCTCTCTGCTTGTAATTAAATACGAACTGTCGATCTGTTAAGGTGAGAAATGTTAGATGGAACAGGTGGAACAAGTGGAATAACCGTCACGATTTAATTGTGATAGTTCGCAAAAAAAGTCTCATACTAAACAATAATAATTTGACAATAACGTTGTAAAATTTTGCAAAGTGTATTTTGTAAATTTGCAAATGACAGTGCAAAAAACACGATTAATTTTTACACGAATTTGTACATTATATAGTGACGTCAAAAAAAAAGAAAAAAAATAATTAATGAATTTTATCTAGTTTTAACAGATAATATGGCAAATTTTTGAAATCTGAGGAAAAGAGAATTCTCTCATTAATGCGTTGTTTGTTCAACATTTCAGTTATTTAATATTAAAATATTTAATATTTTATACATTATTTCGCTTGCTTTGTGAGAAAAAATTTTCTAATTTTATGACTATTCTAAATCATGACTATTTTAAATTATTTAATAAAGAATTAGAGAATCATATAAAATTAATACTTATATAACCGATATTCTGCTTCTACAATATGTACACGTCTTTGGCACGTGAATATTAATTTTCATGCAAAAAGAAGCGCAATTACGTCTATCTTCCTATTGGTTTATTCATCATGATAATGAATTTAAGTGTTTTAATTATAATACTAACAAGAAATTTATAATATTTACTTCAGAGAACAAATAGAAAAAAGCTTTTCATACAAGCTTGCATCTAAACAATTGAACAATTATTCAAATCTCGAAGAATGCATGAAAAAAAGAATTGATTATTTTCACCAATTTGGTGCTTCTAATATTAAATAACTTCTTTATATATATTTAATATATATTTAATATTTATTTAATATTAAAAAATAAAAAAAGCATCTTGAGATTTTCGAGCGTATTCTCGTATTTGTGTCTTTTATCTAAAATTTCGTGTTAGCGCGCAAAAATCTGCTCGTGAAATTATAATATTACGTTATGGGGAACTCTCTTCCGTGCAAAATTGCATGGAATGCAATGCAATGAAAAAAAAAAAAAA